GTGTTCCCCACTTATGATGCTTTTGTTTCAAGGCACAATGCCTGGATAAATTCCTCTTGCCTGCAGAGGACGGGAACCTGCATACGAATATATGTAGCTTTGAGCAAATGCCAGTGAAGCACAGCTTGACCAAACAGCCTTGTCTTGCCTTTTATAAATTTCAACAAAAACTTAGAGTAACAATTGAAAACAAAAAATGCAGGAGATCACAGCGGATCAGGCAGCATCCATGCAGACGAAGCAAGCTGACGTTTCGAGTCTAGATGATTTTTCATCAGAGCTGATGTGCATCCTGCAGTAATTTTCTCCCACATAGGGGTAACAGTCCCTTGTATATACTCCATGACGTCACCTCAGCCAAAGTCCACATGCTAGTCAGATTATATTTGCCAACCAATCAGCACCTTGTTCAGCAGTTTAAACGACTATTCCTTTTAAAATTTCGTATTCTTGTGTCTGGCTTGACGAATTCAAGACGAAAATTTTCAACAGCATGTCTACTTTTCTCAAGAGTACTCAATTCTGTTTTATGATACTTTGTCAAATATCTTTTGCTAGTTCATACAGACAACAATCAACCATCATCAGCCCTTTAGTTACTTCATCAACAAACTCAATAAAGCTACATAGATGAGGTTTGTCTTTAAAAATCCATGCTGGGTGATTCTTGTTAATTCATACCTCTCCAATTAGGAATTCATTCATTAGATTAGTCTGTAGTTACCAGGTTTCAACCCTTTCTTGAATAGGAATGTTACATTTTCAAAGCCTTCCAGTCCTCCAGCACCATTCCCATGTCATCACTATAGATCATTTATGTAGTGGAAGTTGTATTTAGCACACATCAACTCATTAGAGAGATTAAATACTAAGCACAATTGAATTTGAGTTGAGCCAGATGTTATATTCCATGTTATAAGCTGGTAAAGAGCTATACTTTTAAAGATGTCAGTGTTCCTTACATTTGTATGTTTGTGGCAACTTGAGTTCACTTCAGACAAGCTCTAAGCTTAAAACAAGTGCAATACATTAGTCTCCCTGCAATTTGGATCACATTTAGGTGGAACCCAGAATAGTCAATGCACTGAGGTGAACTTTACAAGTATACATGCACCAAGTGTGAAGTTCAGTTCTACATTTGGTATAATTGACCTGACATTTTATAAACAAGTTCTGCAGAGTTTGAGCAGAAATTCAGACCTTAGCACCTGTATTTTTAGTAATATGAATTCCATTTGCTATTTTTTAAACAAAAAATATTGGTTCACATGATACAAGTGTCATTGGCGAGGCCAGTATTTATTGCCCATCCTTAACTGCCCTTAAGTAGTAGTTGTGTGACGTTTTTATTCTTTTGTGGAACCTGGGCATCTCTGGCTGGCCAGTATTTATTGCCCATCCCTTGTGTCCTTGAAAATATTGTGATATTGTGCTGCCTTCTTGAACTGCTGCGGTCCATGTACTGTAGATAGACCCACAATGCCCTTAGGGAGGGAATTCCAGGGTTTTGATCCAGTGACACTGAAGGGAAAGAGACATTGAGTCATACAGCATGGAAACAGACCCTTTGGTCCAACTAGTTCAAACCGACCATGTTCCCAAACTAAACTAGTCCCACTTGCCTGCTTTTGGCCCATATCCCTCCAAACCTTTCCCGTTCACGTACTTATCCAAAATTATTTTAACCATTGTGCCTGTACCTGCATCCACCACTTCCTCTGGCAGTTTATTCCACACACTAACCACTCTCTGTGTAAAAAAGTTGCCCCTCACATCCTTTTTAAATCTTTCTCCTCTCACCTTAAAAAGTGTCCCCTAATTTTGAACTCCTCCACCATAGGGAAAAGACCTTTGCTATTCACCTAATCTCTGCCCCTTATGATTTTATAAACCTCTATAAGGTCATACTTCAGCCTCCTTAGCTCCAGTGAAAAAAGTCCCAGCCAATCCAGCCTATTTTTATAACTAAAACCCTCCATTTCTAGCAGCATCCTGGCAAATCTTTTCTGAACCCTCTCCAATTTAATGATATCCTTCCTATAACATGGTGACCAGAACTCACACAGTTCTCCAGAACAGGTCTCACCAATGTCCTGTGCAACCTCAATATGACATCTCAACTCCGATACTCAAAGATCTGAGCAATGAAGGCAAGTGTGCTAAACCCCTTTCTTAACCACCCTATCTACCTGTTGTGCAATTTTTAAAGAATTATGTACATGAACCTCTAGGTCTCTCTGTTCTACAACACTACCCAGTGCCCTACATGAACTGTTCAAGTCCTGCCTTTGTTTGCTTTATCAAAATGTAATATGTCGTATATCTCCAAATTAAACTGCATCTGCACATTGATCCAATTGATTAAGACCTCTGTAATCTTAGACAACCTTCTTCACTGTCCTCTATACCACTAATTTTGGTGTCATCCGCAAACTTATTAACCATGCCTACTATATTCTCACCTAACTCATTTATATATGGTGATATAGTCCCAATTCAAAATAATATGTGGCTTGAAAGAGAATGTGCAAGCGGTGTTGCTCATATGCATTTGCTGCTCTTTTCCTCTGGTACAATGGTGAACAACTGGCACACCAATCTCCATGTTGATGAAAAAATTAGAATGCCCCTGGAATGATGCAGAATAAGCAGATTATCATGTTGTCCAGTACGTAGCCTTGACTTATCACCAGCACTGCCATTTTAGAGCTCAGTGCTCCAGCTCTTAATATCACAAAGCTGAATGATGATTCAGCAGCAGGAATCCATCAAAGATATTTGAAGGGATCAACGACTTTAAGGGTTGTTCCTAATCAACTAAATTTGCCACTGCTCGATCAGGATTTTGAAATAACTCCTATGGGCTGGTATCCTGTCACCAAGTCACCCTTTATATACACATGGAGAGCCCTTGACACTGATCCAGTTTCCTCAGAGCTAGCTCGCAGAGTGAACAGAATCTCTGACATTCCCGTTTATATGTGAGCCAGGGCTCCCTCATCGATCTAGATTAAAAGTCCCAATTAGGGAACTTATATTATATGAGGTCCATCTGGCTGACCTCATTATAATCACTACAGGTTTGGTGTTTCTCTATTTAAAGTTGTCAAAATCTGCAGGGAGTGGCGAGGCATGTGCCGAAGGACTTCATCCTGACTTTAGGCTTTTTGCATAAACCACTTGTTTCCAGAAGTAGATGTAGTAGGAGGTATTCAGCTTAGATTATAGCATGACAGGGCAAATGAACAGAGGTGACACAGAATAGGATGAACTGCTAGAAGGAGGAGGAAGAAGTGGCATGGGAGTGTTAACAGATGAATCAAGCCAACAATTTAACTAGGGTAGAAAAGAGAAATAATGCATGCACAAAATACAATGAATGGCATCACATGCAAATTTTCAGTTCACTTTAGATCTTTCCTTGGATTTAGTTGTGCTGGACACTCCCTTAAGCAGTCCATGTCCTATGTTCAAGCCTGTACCCAATGTCTCAGCACAATAAACCATAACCAGGAGTGAAATAACAGTCCCCTCTTTGTAACCTGAAATTGTCCTTATAAATGCTTCTCCAATCTTTCAGCATACCAACTAAAAACACATTGATGAGACAGGCCCAGATATAATCAGTAAGTTGTTTTAATTTACATACAAGTAAACATTTAGTGTGACAGTTTATAATCAAAACATATTTCACTTAATTTGAAACACATCCTTATCAATAAAAATTATAATAAACAATGGTGCACAATCCCACATCAACAGGCAAACTAAATCTTATGTGGTTAAGTTCTGATTCTGTTTGGCTTTGAACCCATAGGAAACCAGGTTTTTCTTCAGTTACAAAAACAGAAATTGCTCAAAAAGCTCAGCAGGTATGGCAGCATCTGTGGAGAGAAACCAGAATTAACGTTTTGGATCTGAGGAAGGATAAATCAACTCAAAATGTTAACTCTGATTTCTCTCCACTGATGCTGCCAAAGCTGCTGATTTTTTTTAGCAATTTCTGCTTTCCAGCATCCGCAGTTCTTTCAGTTTTTCTTCCATTAGTTTGAGTCCTTTTTGTATCTAATGTAATTGATTTACTTGGATAGTTTCATTGCTTTCTAACAACAAGAACAGGCACAGGTGTCCCACCGTAAACCCAGGAGCCTCATCCTGAGGATGAATTCTCTGCAGACTCAGTATATTGGCCTCAGGTGAATAGGTTGGTCCAATGATAATAGTAACCAGTCTCATTCATCCATGCAAAGTAAGATCCTCTGATGTATTAGGAACCTAAATGTATTTTAACGTGATATATTTGATGAGGAGTTTACTATAGATGTGTTGCTCAGTAAAACCTAGCGGCAGAGTAGCACAGACCCTTCAAAGTAAGTGCTAAAACTACTTTTAAGAGGAGAGAGGGGTGAGTAGTTTTCCAGGATCCCAAGGAATCACATGTTCAGAATTAATATTATTTTCATCACTGCAACCCCCACCCCTATCCCAGGACTTGGTTTTCTCCAAGTTTGATCAGACTCCAGTGACATTGCACCACTCTGGAGCCACTGAGTTGTATTAAGGCAGTATTATTGGGCATGCAGCTGGCTGAAAAATGTTAATTAGATCCACTTTTGACAGGGATGGCCCACAGTCACAGCTTTCAGGCTTTCAGCCAACCTGCTCCACCATCTGGAAATGAATCTTTTCGCCTCAACTGAAATCATTCACGTGCGATGGTTTCTGAATGGATTGTCTGTAATAACCTTTGATAAGACCAATGAGGCAACTAATTTGCACATACTGCACCCAAAAAGAGCAAATAATTACAAGACACCAAGTTCACTTATTTTGGTTCAAAATCAGAAATTGCTGGAGAAACTCAGCAGGTCTGGCAGCATCTTTTAAGAGAAAAACAGAGTTAACTTTTTGAGTCCAGTGACCCTTCTTCAGAACTGAACATTAGGACTTTGAGTACTGAAGAAGGGTCATTGGACTCAAAACATTAACGGTTTCTCTCTTCAAAGATGCTGCCAGACCCACTGAGTTTCTCTAGCAATTTCTGCTTTCAAATTTACAGAATCTGCAATTTTTGTTTTATATCACTCATTTTCATGTTGCTGTTTAGCTACTGTTGCTCAGAACATCTGAAGAACATCCATTGTCTTTTGAGATCTTCCATCTAGACAAGAACTTAATATAATGTCTTGTTAGAAAGAAGACACCTCCAACAATGTAAACCTCTCCATGCTGCACTGACATATCAGCTTGGATTATGAATTCACATTTATGGAGCAGGACTTGAACATATAACCCAACGATTTAAATGTAAGTTACCACTTAACCATGCAGACAAATGCATGGAGGCAATATTTTGTGGACTTGTTTTGAAATTACAATTTAGTTACCAAGCCTCAAAACAGCCAATAACATGGAATGAGTATGAAGACTAACCTGTGAATGCAGATTTTACATTTATTGCGTACAGGAAACTGCATGACAGGAAGGCATCCACATTTCAAATTCAGCAAAAATCTGTTGTGCAATAATAAAAATTGGTTTCACTTAAAGTGACTCGATCCTTCAATGTGTCACTTTGCATGTAAACAATGAACGTTCTCTTCATAATTTCACATACAATTCTCATGTTTATAAGAAGGTCAGGCTTGATATTATAAAACACTGCAACACTTTAGGACAAGTTGGGCATTTATTTAAAATTTACAGATTCACCTTGTATTTTTGAAATTCTCTTTCCTCAAACAAGAATTTGCTCATGGGGTTTTGCTAGTATTGTATTCAGCTCAAGTAAGCCCTGGGTTGTTGCTGCTTTTGCATGACTTATCTTCATTGATGGCTCTCCACTTATTGAATGATCTTCTTATAGCGATTGGGGATCAGAAAAACTACATAAACCAACTATATTGGTCTATTAATACCAGATTGCTCTAATTTTAATATATGCATTTACACAAAGCAATAAATAAAACCTACTTAATACAGATTAGTCAACTCAAGTATCAACTACAATATTGTGTAGTAACTGCATTAATTTCACTTGGCTGTGACTTCTGTCAGTGTTGCATATTGCCAAAATACAAGGCCATACTCTGAGAAACAACTTGTGACAAGAGTGAGCAAAAGAAATTACAAAGTAATTGGTGATTATATAATTTCAGGAGTAAAATGTACCCACAACCTCGACATTGGAAAATTGAAACTTGAAAGCAAAACAACATCAGTGATTCCATGGTTTATGGATATAGCATTGCCTTTTAAATTAAACAATCAGGCTTGTCAAACCAGCAGAGTTAAATGGTCTTGCCTCAAATTTCCCCATTTTACATTTTTGTTTTACAGAATTTTTTTTCAATGGCACGGATACAAATGGGGGTCTTGAAGAACCTCCATTGTCTCACTTTAAATCAATCTCTCAAAAGACAAGACAGTGAATTTGATCTAGGTAACTACAAGTCTATTAACATAACATTAATAAGTAGTAAAACAATACAATTTATTCCAAGCAACATGTTGAAAGAGTATTCATGAAGCAATAACTTAACAAGAAACAAGCAACATGGATTTAAAACATCCTGCCCAACATCTTCACTACTTTGAGGACATTACGGATAAAATAGCTGTCAGCTTACCCTTGACACTGTTCATCAGAATTTTAAGAAAGCTTTTGAAAAATCTCCATGTAAACAGGCTAATTAAATGGAAAGTTGCACAAATGCAGGAAGAACATAGAACTAGATAGGACTGTGTCTTATAAATAGGACACCAAGATCATGCAAGATGTTGTGAGAGAATGCAGTCTTTCAGAATTTTACTGAAACAATCCAAGTAGCAAAATCAACTACAATTTTGTCAAAAATTGCTGCCTAAGGAAAATAAGGGAAGCAATAAAAAAAGCATATTTCAAAAACGTCTACATATCTGGATCGAGAAACAGTAAAATATATTTAACACTGATAAATGTAAAGTATTGCACATAGTCAAATTACATAGATCACAGTTACATACAAATTTTTCTCAGTTAACACAGATACTAGAACAAAACTTGCAGTGTATAAGTAAAGAGATGAAGCCATTAAAAATGAAAATCAAGTTAGAAACATCAAATACTTTGGAAGTGATGTGTTCACTATTACACTTCGATTCTTTTAGCAGTTTCTCTATGTTAATAATTCCATTCACCTCGAACTTTTTAATCAAAGTGATGAATATTTAAGGTGATTTACCAAGCAAGTTAATAAAGGCAAAATCATTGTACTTTTCAAAATAGCGTTGGATGTTGTGAGAGTTAAAAACACAAGTGTTGGACTTTTAACGTCCCTGATTTACTTATGGTCTCTAAACGAGAGAAAGAAAGAAATCAATTATTTCCAGATGAGTCGACGAATGTAGAGATTTCGTGAGGAACTGTGATCCCAACTATTTTTCAGGGATCTACAATTGTTGATGTAACTGCTTTCTCTTTGAAATTCTGCAGTCTGAAAAAATAAAGTGCAGCCCAGAAAGTTTGTGAACTGAGAGATAATGGGTCCTTTGGAGACTGGATAAAGATGGTAATTTTAGTAACACATTTTTATTTCGCACTTCTGCGACCCAAATTATCCAGATTCAGTCTGTAATAGCATCCTTCTCTGTCCCATTACATTGGTACTTCAGCTTTTATTTCCTTTCCAATGGAATATTCAATGAACTAGAAACCTGTGATGTTTGCCTGCTTGTGTCAAGACCAGTCTGTGGAAGTGGATTTGAAAGTTGCTTTGATGATTTTGGCGCCAGATCTCTTTTCAGTCGGCTTTGTCTACAGAATAACATCAATTGTTAGTGTTGGTGACACTGGTGTGATATTTACATTCAAGCTACATATTATTTTATGTCCATCAGAATGTAAACCAAAAAAGGCATGATTACAGACAATTTATACATTTCTAGATTCTCACAAAAACAATGTTAACCATGGAGCATCACAAAATATGAATCACTATGTACAAAGCAACCATTTGATTTTCCTCCTAATTTGCATTACTTTGAAGAAAGTTGTTTGTTCCTGCTGCTCACCAATTTTTTCCTGACTTTGCATCATTTTAAAATAATTTGTCTTTCTTTCTGCAAATTTCATATCCTCTTCCCTTCAGCTTCCGTCCCACCAGCTATTCCGTACCCGGGAATATGCCTTCACCTTGCTTTACTCTGGTCTGGGTGTACAGTTCCTGACTTGAAATGGTTTTTTACTCAACTCCACATTGATGGCTTTCTTCAACTCTAATGTAGCCTGCAAAACACTCGGTTTTCAAGGGAAAGTGATCATGTGTGCAATATTCTGCAATTAATCTTAATAAATTGCTAACAACTCTCCCTCATTTTTGCACACAAGCGGTGCAGGAACTGGAGTACATGTTTTTCTAATGGGTGCCACAGACCCGGTATAACCTATAAAGTATCATAACTGACAGAAAGTTAAAAATATTGTACAAAATCTACAAACTATGAAACCTGCACATCATTTGTTCTGAAATTTAGTACAACAGTGCTTCTTTAAATTCTCATCTCATGCCAATCCACCTTTCCCGTATGCCATGCCTTTTTCATTTCTTACTCACCTCCCATATTATTTCCAAGCTTTCCACCCCTTCTCCTTGTGCAATCCCTATGCCATCCTTCCCATCTCTTGCTGCCCATCCCTTTCATATGGGACAACTGCATCCCCTGCCCACATCCCACCAATCCTTCCAGCCAAAGTGCTAGTGTTGGGGTTACCTTGCCTTTGTTTTTTTTTCATCCATCCCATCACTGCAATGCCCATGCCACTCTCTTAAACTACTCTCCCCAGTCCTGCCAATAACTTTACTATAGGGCTCCTTTTATCCTCCAGTGCTTTCTTCCTCCACTAGTCCCTCTACCCATCTCACCATAGCAAAATATAAAAAAAAATACCTGTAATAAAATTCATTTATCACTTAACAAAAATGCTTACAATACAATAAACTGTGTTTCTCCTTCCCAAAAACTTTAGTCTTTTATTTATATTCAAGAAATTTTTTCCATTTCCCACAACGAATTGGCATATTCACTTAAGACGAGTGGTTTGCTAATTTTTCTTCCCCAAAATCCAATGGTTTTACACTGGCCTGGACCTACAGTTTAGAAATGTACACATTATAAAAGCAGCATTATACTCTTTCTTGTCAAAATGCACATGCTGTTCTCATTGAAGTTGTAACTATCACAGTGCCGTACTGGTGATGTTATCCCCAATGTCATGTATGCAATAGCAGATAAATTCTATTTTGAATTTTTTGTTTTGTTGACACTTATATCTCATTGTTTCTCATTTTATGTACTGCCTTCTTGTCTTGAGACTTGGTTATTGTGCACACTTTTGGAGCTGTAATTCCATAGTGAGTACAGTGTAGGTTACGAGAACACTCCTATCATATAAATCATTCTTTCACACACAAAATCTGTAACACAACTGAACCCAATGTCTGGGTCAAACTTACACAATGGGGGCAAAGCAGAACCTAGGTTTAGATCCAAGGATAATAATGGGCCAAAACAGGGAAACCATTTGTAACAATTATTTTTATATATAATCTTCGTGGTTTTTCAAGAACTGGGTAATTTTTATGTGGAAAAAGAAAACACGGTTCAGCGCTAGTGAATAAATTCTTCCCATTTAAGACACTGAGCGTTAACATCAAACATGTTTGCATTAGGGAAGTTTCAGCCTTAACTTCAGAAAAGCAGTGGAACACTACTGCACCAGACTGCCACATCTCCCATGCCAGCCATCCACTAACTTCGAGGTAAGCTTGTGAGAATTAGTTATGTCTGCTCAGTAGAGGTTGAATCAAGACTCTTCAAGCTTATCTCATGTATGATCTTTCTATTCAAGTGGAAGAAGAAGACTTGGATCTCTTCATTCTCAATAGATTTCAATTTATTTCCTAGAACAATGGCTAACCCATTGTATTAATGAAAGTACTTTTGGTTGTATATTATTTTGTGTTGTATACACTGGCTTGAGAGAAGAATGAAAATGGTCAATACAGTTTCTTTAAAAATTGGATTTATGGATTTCATTGGCTCAATTTGCAGAATTTGCCCTCAGAAAAGTGGGCTGGATTCTCTGAGGAGTAGCATCAAACAGGATTGGGGCTAGCCATCTCTTATTTTATGTGAAAGGAGGGAGCTCTGTCCTTCTGAGAGGAGATTCCAATCAGGGCTCCATTAGAAACGTGCAGCAGTACTTCCGCTCTGACATGTTTTTTGTAGCACAGAACTGTCAGAAGCAGGTAAACCATGCCCCTTTTCACAACAGTCAGCTACCCTATTCTGGCATTTGAAAGAACAGACTTTGACGGTGTTTGTGGGAGGTTGGGGAGGGTGCGAGAAATCAGGTTTAGCAGAGCAGTGTCTGGGTGCAGAGTGGTGGAAGGCTTCGCAAGTGGAGAAGCAGAAGTGGGGAGCTTCTCTAGTGTTGGGGTAAGTGGTGGGGAAGGGGATCAGGTGCAGAGCTGGGGAAGGGGGCAATGTGTCCAAAAGCAGGAGGAAAAGGGGGTTCCACTGAATATTTACTCAGGAGTTAGACTACATATTTAAGTCTAACTTTTCCTGGTTAACTATTTACTTAAATTCATTTGAACCCTCTGAATCTTTTGATTTAAATGGACACTTTTGAAGGGTTCCAGATGTAGAGGAATTGCCCAGTAGAAAATTCAATTTCTCGGGCAACAACTTTGGAATCTGCAATTAATCTGGTTGGCAGAAAATCCAGGCCAAATGTACTTAATGATTAGTTTTATGGGTTTCTTATTTGTGATTGGTATTTTTTTTCTACTTGTGCAAATTCTCATAATTACATTAAAAAGCCGATGATCATTTAAACTGATGAGGGAAGGAATAGCTACTTCACACACCTCAACTTTAGAAAGATTCTCTCTTGCATATATGTTGATTTAATGGACCTAACTATTTTTACACTCATAGATAGATGGTCCTGTTATTCCTCTTCAAACTATGCATCATTCTAGCTTGCAAACATGTCACTATTTCTTCCTGGTTGCTGGATCAAAACCCAGGAACTCCACCTCTAACAGCGTTGTGGTGTTCCTGCATCCAAAGGACTGCAGCTTTTCAAGGTGACAGTTCACCACCACCATTTCCAGGACAATTAGGAATGTACAATAAATGCTGGCTTGTAACGCCCACATTTCATGAATTAATTTTAAAAAGTGTAATATAAACAATTTTTCATAATTACTTCATTACCTGTTATAGTGCTTTAAAGTGAGCAATACCAGGGTGAGTATGATTATTACTCCAATTACAATGACAGCTACAATTGCACCAGAGCCTGGAACACAAAAAGAGAATTCAGTTAATCTGGAGCTCATATTCCCACTGACTTCGCTCCTTATCAGAAGTGGGGGGGGGAGGGGAAGCTAATGTCGCTTCAGTGAAGTTTTTTTTGCCTTACGTACATTGAATTGGTAAGACATCACATTGCTTTCAATGGAAGTTTTTGTTTTGTGAGCAATTGCAAAGATTAACTTAATTTTGATTTCATGCCAAAAATATGAAGATTCTAATATTTATCTATAATAACCTTATATGTACTGATTCATCACACCATAAGTCAGCGCTAGTCGGGATTTTATGTGCCCTCACTTGGCCTGAGTTCAGCACAGCAAGGGAAGTCAAACAGATCGGGTGCCCAGACCACTGTCTTACCACCTACTCCCAAACTCAACTCATAACATGTTACATGAGTGAATGATGAAATTGGCCATCAACATATCTGTACAACTGAAAGGTCAACAATATGTTGTCCAAGAAATAATATCTGGGCACTTGGGTGGGATTGGGCAGGCCATTTTGTGTGACCGACATGATCAAAGGCAGGAAGAGGGTGGGGTGCACCTCATTCAGGGCAGTACCCTGTGCACATTGCAGGGGCATCCCTCCCAAAGCTGTCACCCTATCCTTCTGCACTGCTTGCCCAGAGCCTGGTCCCTCCATCCACCTTTCACCCTTCACAGGTCTCTAGCTTACACCCCTGGCTAAAACCCCGGCACTTAACTTCTCAAGGTAGCCGTGATCTTTCTTGGACAATGTAGACAACTGAGTTCCGGTGATGCTAGGACTGATGGAGCTGTCTGGTGATCAGAGTGGGAGATCCTCCCAAGTGAAGACAGGGCAGGTGAAAGGTCGCCAGTTTAGCAACTTGCAATACATTCTGCTGTGACATAGGCTTTAAAGGAGGAAGGGTGTAGGCTTCCAACCAATATTCCTTGGGGAATGTAAGCAATCTGCCAATCCCCTTTAGATCCAGCCCATTGTCAGGATTTTCACCTTTCATTTTCAGAATCCTGGAAGCCCATAAACATTTTATAATAAGCCAGATTTACAAAGCAAATCTGTGGCAAAAGCTTTGAGAGTACCAGGAAAACATGACTTTAGTCCACATAAATAATAACCGTGTGGCACAGATGTTGTACTTTTTTTGGTATTCCACTGATAGGTAAGTTGGTAACCAAAGGAATTTGATTTAAAGATAAAAGAACCAGAGGCAACAGGAGATGATTTTGGACAGCATGGTGGCTCTGTGGTTAGCACTGCTGACTCACAGCATTAGGGACTAGGTTCGATTCCACCTTGGTTTGACTGTCTGTGTGGAGTTTGCACATTCTCCCTGTTTCCGTGTGGATTTCCTCTGGTTTCCTCCTGCAATCCAAAAATGTGCAGGTTAGATGGATTGGCCATGCTAAATTGCCCACAGTGTCCAGGGGTGTGCAGGCTAGGTGAGTTAGCCATGGGAAATGCAGGGTTACAGGGATAAGGTAGGAGGGTGGGTCTGGGTAGGATGCTCTGAGAGTTGGTGTGGATTTGATGCGCCAAATGGCCTGTTTCCACACTGTAGGGATTCTAGCATGCTGTTCTGATCCAAAATGAGCATGTGGTGGAAGCGGCTTCAATGGAAACTTTCAAATCAAAATTGGATATATACTTAAAAAGATAGCAAGTATCTGCAACACTTTTGATAAAAGGCAAATTTGCTTGCAGTTTCACAGGCACAAGCACAGTTAGTTGCATAATCTCCTTCAATAAGGTTGCAATGATGATATGATTTTGCTAATTTACTATTTGCTAATCTGAAAGGTACATATGGGCATAGCTCATTCATTTCTGACTTGAATGAGTTCTGAACTTAATTTTCACTTTTCAATTTAATGTGTTTATATATTGTATATACAATATATATATATCTATCTGTGACATCAGCAGGTTACAAGGTGAGACATGAAACAAAAAGCTGGAAATACTTCACATCATTCTCTGTGGATAGAGAAACAGAGGTAACATTTATTAACCATAAATATTAACTGTGCTCCTTTCTCCTAAGATGCTGCCAAGCAGCTCTGGCATTTTCTGTTTTCATTTCAGATATTTGCAGTAAATTGCCTCTGTACATGCCAAGAGAAGTTTTCAAGCAGGCCTGATAGCGAGCTTGTGCATTGGCCAGCTTACTCCTGGGATGTAAAAACCTTATTGCAAAGCTCTGAATCACATTCTGTCACATTAAGCACATTCCATATTTAGTCTTTGTTTTGATTTTATAAAAAATAGAGACTTGTTAATACGAAACAAATTCGACCAACTAACCAGTAAGTTGCTCGATCAGAGCTAATGAGACGTAAATAAGACAAAAAACTTTATGAAGCAGTTAGAGTTCATACATAGATCCATATAGGTCTCAAAAAGGTGAAAAACCATTTTTCAAGATAAAATTGGCAAAGCCATAGGGCGAGATTTTCACAGAGTCAGACAGACTCCAGAAACATTTTAATAAGTATAAAAATTCTACACGAGAAGAACAATCTGTAATGACATTGCATTCAGGATTATTTCATCAGCACTCTCTGTACTTGTTAATTTTTAAAGATAAAACAGGCTGAGGGGGCACCTTCATGCTGAAGCATTGTCCCACTTTTTGCAGCTGGCTGCTTCTCTGAAGCTGGAAGATCTCTGATTGGTTTTCCAGCTTTGAGATCCCATTTATCACCCTTAACTGGATAACAAAACCTGGTTCCAAGCCAATTCAGGGGATGCCAAGGTCAAAATTCCTATGTGTTTTTCTTTACCTTCATAGGAGCAGTTGCATTCCAAAATAGTTCCTCTTCCTGGATTCCTGCCCCCAGAATGAAAATTCAGACTTCTGTCAACATTGAGTTACATGGCCTTAAACAGGGGTTGTAGTAGAGAGGCTAAAATTAGCCTCAGCACCCATGATTTGGAGTGCTGATGGAAGGTATAGTGGGGTGGCAGGGGGAGGTAAATTCATGTGTGGAATCTGCACCATCATGGCACATGTCCAACCATCTTACTGTACACTGTAATGCTGCTGCCAGGACATTTTGTACACAGGGCCAGGCACACACCTCATAGTTTGGACCAGAGTACATCTCGATGATCTTCAATTACTCTTTGGGCTTTCACTCTATTTTCATCTATTTGGATGATCATAGCATTTTAGCCTTGCTTTTCCCTTTTGTGTTTTGTTTCCTCAGCCAGAGCTTAATGACTCACAGTCCTTACTTGAATCCAGGCAGCTTGTTGTAAGGGTTAACAAGGGGTGGACATATTGCAATCTCACACCAATGCTAGTTACGAGCAGCATGCGCAGCAACACACTGCAAGTGCATCGACCTAATAGCCATGTCTCAAGATTTACAAGGAGTAGCCCTCAGTCAGGCCAAGGGGACCCTCAGAGTTATCAAGGCCAGGATTAGTAGGGAAACTAACATTCACAATTGACTCAGTCTTAGTTATAAATCACCGAAGTATAATCTAATACATTATTCTGCGTAACAGCAGCCAATTCAGACATTGGTACTGTAACATGTGATTCTGCTTAGCTTCACTTGACAAGGAAATACGGCGTGGGACTGCAGAGTGAAGACAATAGACTAATGGTTTAGAATTACAGCTGCAAGGCCAAGGGGCCCCTCTTTAGTTAATCTGTAGCTTGTATCCAGACTTCTAAAGGTGAATCAGGCAGAGTTAGTATCCTCCCAGTTTGTTAACCCTTATCAAGAAATCACAGTCACAGCTGTGCAGCTGTACTGGTGCTGATTTTATTTGCTATACACATGAGACAATTCTAGATCAGCAAACTTAATCTTCTGACTAAATGTAACCTTTGTGTTGTAGTTAACTTTGTAAATCTTTTAATTGTGTGATCGTTCAGATTTTCATCACTCAAGGCTATGTATTGAATAATATTCACATAACTATTTGTTTAGCATTTTGTGATCTCTGTATTAGTTTTTATATAATTTGGTAGATTTCAGAAATATTTTATACTAAATGTTTTGCCTTTTAGAAAACAAGGGTTGTATTAACACTTACCAAGCATTCAAATACAACAGCTAACAAATGACTGACTGTTCAAATTTGCCTTAAAGTTACAAGCATCTGACTTACTGGGAATCACGAATTAAATAAGAAATGTGATGAGCTCGAGTATATCAATCAGTGGGACCTGACTGCATCTCCTCCCTTATCCCTAACAGAGGGGTGTAGAACATTTCAAACTGTCCTTTTAGTGAAAAAGTCATAAGGAGACAACAAACAGACCACAGTGAAGAGGAGACAACAAGGTGCAGGGCTGGATGAACACAGCAGGCCAAGCAGCATCATAGGAGCAGAGAGGCTGACGAGCCTTTGGATAACTGAGAACCGAGGAACCCGTCACCCTTAAGAGTCAATTAGAAATTGATCATGTCTCCCTTAAACCAACTAGCAATAAGCCTCACCTAATGGAGGCCAGTCAGAATGTAATGATGTAATTGCTCATACTGTGGATTGTGGCTTGGAAAGAGTTAATAGTCGACAGCTTCCAGTTCAAGCACGAAGAAGTTTGGCAAGTTAAGTTACCCTGCTGTCCAATCAGAAGTGGAAGCAGAAGTTACAGGTGTGACAGAAGTACAAGTAAGCGAGAAGGGGGCATTGCCTTTTTGATAAGGGAGAACATTACAGTGCTTAGAGAGGATATTCCTAAGGGATCATAAAATGAGGCCATATGGTTAGAACTTAGAAACAAGAGGGGATGTTCACTCTGTTGGGACTGTATTATAGACCCCCAAATAGCAGCAGGTGCTGGAGGAGCAGATGTGTAGAGAGTATGCAGATACCTGTAGGATTAATAGAGTAGTATTGATTGGAGATTTTAATTTGCCCTGTATTGAATGGGCTGCCCAGAGTGTAAAAGACCCATTCGGGGTGGAATTTGTCAAGTGTATCCAAGAAAGTTTCCTAAATCAATATATAGAGGGCCCTACTCGGGAGGGTGCAATACTAGACTTTGTCTTAGTAAACAAGGTCAGTAAGTGAGTGTTAGAGTAAAGGGAAAAGCTGGCAGGCTGAGGGATATTGAGGCTCTGGTCAGGAAAAAGGCATACATTGGGTTTAAGCTAGCTATCGGGTTTAAGTAAATCCCTAGATGACTACAAAAAGTGCAGGAGCACACTTAAGAGGGAAATCAGAAGAGCAAAAAAAGGGTATGAGATGGATCTGGCAGATAAGGTTAAAGATAATCCCAAGAGGTTCTATAGCTATATAAGAGCAAAAGGGTGGCTAGAGAGAGAATAGGTCCCCTTAAAGATCAGCATGGCCGTCTGTGTGTGGAGCCTCAGGAAATGGGGGAGATTTTTAAGGAATATTTCTCCTCAGTGTTTACTGAGGACAGAATCATGGATGCTAAGGAAATAAGGGAAACAAGTGGGGATGTTTTGGACTGCATACATATTGCCAGAGAGTAGGTGTTTGTAGTCTTAGAGCGCATTAAGGTGGATAATCCCCTGGGCCTGATCAAGTCCATTTTCAGTCATTGTGGGAGGTTAGGGAAGAAATTGCAGAGGCCCTTGGAGAGATTTTGGTTTCATCTTTAGCCACTGGTGAAGTTCTGGTAGACGGAGGGTGGCTAATGTTGTTCCATTGTTTAAGAAAGGTGGCAAGGACAAGCCAGGGAACTACAGACCAGTGAGCCTGACATTGGTGGTAGGCAAGTTATTGGAGAGGATACTGAGGGACAGGATCAACCAACATTTGGATAGTCAAGGTCTGAGTAGAGATAGTCAGCATGGATTTGTGAGTGGGAAGTCATGTCTGACAAATCTTTTAGTTTTTCGAAGAGGTAACCAAAAGGATAGATGAGGGTAGTGCAGTAGATGTTGTCTATGTGGACTTTTGTAAGGCTTTTGACAAGGTCCTGCATGGCAGGCTAGTCATGAAGGTTAGGTCGCATGGGATCCAGGGAGAGCTAGCTAATTGGATTCAAAATTGGCTCGATGGTAGGAAGCAGAGGGTGATGGTTGAAGGTTGTTTCTCAGACTGGAGGCCTGTGACTAGTGGTGTGCCACAGGTTGGTGCTGGGACCTTTGATATTTGTTATTTACATAAATTGTCTGGATGTGAATGTACAAGACACAATTAGTAAATTTATGGATGAAACAAAATTAGGAGGTATCATTGATAGCGAGGAAAGTTATCAAAAATTACAGAGGGATCTTGATCAGATGGGGAAGTGGGCTAAGGATTGGCAAATACAATTCAATACAGATAAGTGCAAGGTGTTGCACTTTGGAAAGTCAAACCACGGCAGGACTTATACAGTAAATGGTAAGGTCCTAGTGAGTGTGTGGAACAGAGGGACCTGGGAGTATAAGTACATAGTTTGCTGAAAGCGGCGTCACAGGTAGACAGAGTAGTGAAGCTGGCACTTAGTATGCTGGCCTTCTTTGGTTGAGGCATTGAATATAGGCGTTGGGACGTTATGTTACAGTTGTATAAGTTATTGGTGAGGCCACACTTGGAGTATTGTGTACAGTTTTGGTCACCCTGTTAGAGGAAAGACACAGTTAAACTGAAAGTGTGCAAAGAAAATTTACGAGGATGTTGCCAGGATTAGTAGGCCTGAGTTATAGGCAGAGGTTGTCCAGGATAGGACTTTACTCATTGGAATGTAGGAGAATGAGGGGTGGTCTTACTGAGGTGTTTAAAATCATGAGGGGCAAAGATAGGATGAATGCATATAGTCTTGTTCCCAGGGATGGGGAATTGAAAACTAGAGGACATAGGCTTAAGGTGAGAGGGGAAAGATTTAAGAAGGATCTGAGGGGCAACTTCTTCATGCAGACAGTGGTGCATATATAGAATGGGCTGCCAGAGAAAGTGATTGAGGCAGATACAATAGCAACATTTAAAAAAAAACATTTGGATAGGTACATGGATGGGAAGGGTTTGGAGGGATATGGGCCAAATGCAGGCAATTGGAACTAGCTGAGTGGGCACCATGGTCAGCATGGTCCAGTTTAGGCCGAAGGGCCTGCTTCCATGCTGTATTATTCTATGACTCTATAAGTACAGGGAAGCTTGTAGCTTGGTTCCCATATACATTTATAAACGTACATACGTATGTGCAATGAAACAGTGCTACATATGCATCCTGAGAAAAGTCTGCTTTTGGTTCCCCTCCCATGAAGCACTTGATCTGGTGCACAAGTAGTGTTTAAAATAGCACTGGTGTTAGGAATCCCTGAAAGTCCTGGCAGTGATGAGTACTTCCACCTCTGGTGAGAGGGAGGATAGGACAAGCCAGGTACCATATAAGCATGGTGCAGAGATAATCAGATGAGTTTCTGAGAATAGAGTGAGAAATCCTACTAGAACTCATGGAGAGAAACCTTCATGAAACTTGCTGTAATTGACACTTAGCTGATTTTAGCCAAGAGTTTACATTCTTGATCCAGTAAGCTTTGCTGGAAACAGGGTGATTGAATATCACATGAATATGCAGCAGTGTGGGTAGAATGCACTAATGAAAGATGTCAGCGCATCATTATGTAAATTCACTCACTAATATTGACCACTTGGTGAAGCAGAACCATAAATCAAAATAATATGATGGAAAAGGACAGGGAACACAGGAAAAAGCGAAGAAATAAATCTGATTATTGCGCTCTTCAACTAGTTTATGGTGAAGGGGAGGAAGCATTTTGTTTTGTTGAATTATTGAGGTCTGGTTTTGCCTCTGATCTTCGTATCGTCTTACAATTCTCTTCCATCCAACTGACAAGATTTATTTTCAAATCAAAAAGGTGCACTTTATTCCTTTCTACGATTTAATTACCTGGAATTCAGCCAGTTACTGATGAATGGTAAATTGTGTATTCAAGTTTAAAAAAAGCCCTATTCATAAAGGAGGCAGTTAGAACAAATTGGCACTTAAACATGTTCCACTGCATCTATTGTTTCCTATGGATATTATTTAGACATTCTCTCACCCTCCCCCATGCTGGTTCAAAGTTTCTCTTGTACTCTATGCAAGATGGTTGGATATAGGTACTGACTCATATTGGGGTACAGGTGCCAAGTCATGTGGGTTGTAGCTCTGTAGTTACCATTAGCCCTCCAACACCTTGGCCAAGCAAGCAGTTTCACAGGTTAGTCTAGATAAATTAGTGCTGGCAGAGTATTTGACTGAATTAACATGCACCTCAGCAGAAAATTTATTAATAGCAATGAGCAGAAACATTTCTGAGTTGGCTACACGGGTGATTTAATGGTGGCAGTCGATAGTTAAAAGCTGAAAAAAAATGTCATGGTGATTTGGTGGTGGGAAAGCCGTACAGTTGTGTGCAATAGCACTTCTGGTTATAAAAAACAAGAAACATTCCTTTCTCTCCTTTTCCGATTGGTATTGGAGTTATTTGTAGTTATTTGCACATTACAAGGAAATATTAGCCTTGAAGTGGCTGCAGCACAAAAATATTATAATTAAACCCGAGCTAAAAGGATTACATTTTGAAGATAGATTGTATTGACTTACCTTCTATTTCCTTCAGTTTAGAAAATAAAGAGGTGACATATGGGAGAGGATAGCCTAAAGATATTGTTGCTGGACTAATAAGCTGGGTTTGAATCCTACTACAGCAGATGGTAGGATTTAAATTCAATAGAAATCTGGAATTAAATGTCTACTGATGATCTTGAAACCATTGTTGGTTATCATTAAAAACCCATCTGGTTCCCTAACGTCCTGTAGGGAAGGAAAACTGCTATCCCTACCTCACTTGGTCTACATGGGACTCCAGAGCCACTGTAATACAGTTGACTCTTAACTGCCCTCTGGCCTGCCAGGCCATTTCACTCAATTGTATCAATCGCTGGAAAAGCCAAAAGGAATAAAACCAGATGACCACCTAGCATCAACTGACATTGTGCGTCTTCTTATAGCAAATGGACTGCAGCAGTTCAAGAAGTAGCTCACCAACACCTTCTCCAGGCCAAGTGGGACAGGCATTAAATACTGGCCCTGTCAGCAGTGCTCACATTTCCACGAATGAATAAAACATAGTAATGAAAATGATTTAAGATCTTGAGAATAAAAATTGATAAACCATTTCTTTTGACAGATGAGTCTACAACAAGGGGACATAACCTTAAAATCCAGCAGGACCTTTCAGGGATGATTCGTCACAAAGTGTGATTGGAGGCAGGGTACCAACTGAAAATATCTAATTTGAGACTGATAGATTATGTGTGTAATGATGTTAAGGTATGCGGAATAGGGCAGATGAATAACTTAAGATTCAGGTCAGCAACGAGCGAATTAAATAGTACTGCAGGATAGAGGTGCTGATTGGCCTCCTCCTGTCTCTTTGACATTAGTGCCCCCTTTGCCTAAGACAAGACCATGCAGTATAGGATAGAACGTGGAGACTTTTGGTTTGCTTGATTCAGCTTCACAATAGGCTGGTGACTGAATCATTAGGAAAACTCTCCTCCCCTCTTTGTTGTACAAATAAGCAATTTATTCGCCAATTATTCTGCAGAGTTAAACTTGGAAGCTCATTAATTATCAGCCTACACTATTTCTCCACATAAACCAATTTACAATAGGAAAAGGAAGTTACAAGCAGTAAGTTCCATACTTACTCTGGTACAGAATTTCTTCAGGGGATTTTGTGGCCATCGATGTGATGTTTTCTTTTTTTGTGGTGTTGACCGTCATGCTGATCGTCACTGGCAAAAAGAAAAACAAAACCAGGTATTAGTGGTGAGCCTGTTTTAGGTGCCAAATATTTTTTCACAGGATTCAAATATTATTGGGCTTAAGAATTAAAATGGCTTGTCAAAATCGTTTGCACCCAAGGTTCTGATCTCTGCCCTCCACTTTCCCTTTCTGCCGGCCAGTTTCTCCTAACTCTGAAAAGGTCCATTTGGAGTCTGTGTCTGACAATCCTTAGTCCAGACAGAAAGAATCAACAAGGAAATGTGGAGCCTCATTCCATTTTCTAGCCTTACAGTTTACAGCAATATAAGTGCCATTGTAAAATTCAAACCAAAAGGTGCAAATAGGAGTCAATTGTTTAACAATTTGGGGTTTGGATCACTTTGTATGCAAAACAAATGACACACAATAAATCACAAAGACACACGTGCACTGGAATTATCCACCACTGTCATCTTGTGGTACAAAAAACACATGGCTGCATTCCATCAGTAGGATCCTAAAAGGTACCTTCAAAAATAATTCCTAATAGTCCAAGAGGACTTTGACAAACGTAGTGCATGTACTTTTCCTGTCTGATTGTAATGGTACATCATTGATGATACTGCTTGCCAATTACAAGGGACAGGCATCCAGGCCAATATACATAACAATAACAATAACTCCACACTCCAATCACATCCAGGCAATGCACAAGTTCCAAATTTGGGGCAGGATTAATGACAATGATGGTTTGGAAATGCTGATCTACAAGTGAAATATGTCATCTCTATCCATAGAAGTTTCATGCTGTTACATTGCTAGTAATCTGACCAAACACAATACATCATCTGTTGTAATTAAAAAAAACATTTCTGAAACAGAGATCTTAAACAAACTTAGCTGACTCAATTACTGGAAAATCTTGCTCTTAAAGTAACATTTTACACCTAAATATTGGCTCCCCAGCAGTTTGCATAGGAAATTAACACTTGGCCAGTTGGGAGTTGATGCCACTGTTGAACAGAATAATGCAAAGACTCTGCAACAGCCATCAGAACATTGACACCCATAAAAATGTCTGTCTATGGTACTTAGACCATTGTGTACTTTCCATTCATTCCTGGGGCCAACTAATGTAGCCAATTTGACCCACATAATCCTGTGAACAGCAAGCATCAAAATCCAATCATAGACATACAGACTTCAATTTGCCAGAGGTCTTGCGAACATTTGATGGACCTTAAAAAGTAGTATTCAAATGGAAAGGTATGCAATTATATTGTTTTAGTTTCTTTCAATAGGTTATAAAGTGCTTTCCAAAGTAAACGCTTTTATCATCAACAATTAATCCCTAAAGTGACATTAGAAGTTTTTCCCCAACTGGTGCATGTATGGGAATTTCTTCAGAAATTGCTCCCCAACTTTATTAGAATCATAGAGAATAGGATCAGGCCCATCGAGTCCATTCCACCTTTCAACATGATCATGGCAGATTTTGCATCTTAATACCATACTCGGGCTCTCTTCTCATGTCACACAACACCTTTAGTCTCTAAAAATCTTTTTTGTAAACAAATTGAGTGACTATACCTCCACAACATTCAATAGTAGAGAATTCTGCAGGTACACCATGCTCTGAGTGAAGAAATCTCTCCCTGTTCAGTCTAAAATAGTCTACCCTGCGTTATGAGTCTGTGTTCCAGACTGCTAGCCAGAGAAAACACGATCCCTGCATCCAGTCTATTCACCCCTGTCAGAATTTTATACATTCCTCTCATCCTTCACAAGTGCAGGCCTAGTACGGTAAATCTCATCATATAACAAACCTGCCATTCCAAGGATCAGTCTGGTGAAACTTTGCTGAATTCCCTCTAAGGCAAGTGTATCTTAGGTAAGATGGCTGAAACTGTACATAACACTTCAGATGTTGGCTCAACAGGACCCTCTATAACTCCAGTAATATATTCTTGCTCCAGTACTCAAACACTCTCACATTATTGGCCAACATATCATTTGCCATCCTGCATGTTTTCTTTTAGTTACAGCAGTATAAGGGCACTCAGGTTCCTTTCTACATCAACATTTCCCAATTTATCATCATTTAATTAATACTCTGCAATTTTTTTCTACCAAAGTGGATAACTTTAAAATTATCCATGTAATATTCTATCTACCATGCATTTGCCCAACCACTCAACTTATCAAAATTATTTTGATGGCTCTGTACTTTGAACTCACTACTCAAGCTCACCTAGCTTTGTTATCAGCAAACTTGGAAATATTACATTTGATTGCCTAATCTAAATTATTGATAAGTATTGTGAATACCTGGGGCCCAAGCACTGATCCCTATGATACTCAATTTGTCACAACATTCCACTCCAAAAAAAGACCAATTAATTTTCCCTCTCCGTTTCCTATCTGCTAGCCAAATTCTCATTCCATACCAGTGTATAAGCCCAAATCCAATGTGCTTTCATTTTGCAATATAACCTCGTGAGACTACATCAAAAGCTTTTCAAAAGCCCAAATATACCACACTCACTGATTCTCCCTTATGTATTCTATTCGTTATATCCTCAAAAAATTTCAGTGGGCTTGTCAAACATAATTTTCCTTTCATAAATCCATGCTGACTTTGTCCAATCCCATTGGTCTTTTCTAAGTTGCTATTCTCATATCCTTAAACATATTGTAGCATTTTTCCTGCAACAGATATTAGGCTAAGCGATCTATAATTCCCTGTTTCCTCCTTCCCTCTTTTTTTAAAAAATAGTTCTGTGGTGGAAATATCGTTCACTTCTAGTGAAGTTGTCATAGCAAAATAGGTTTTGGGATCTTTATGGAGGAGCCAGATATTTGTACATGCAAATTGTTGAAGTTGATGGAATAGAAAATTTCAGACATAAACAGCAATAAATGATAACTGGACCAATAAGTAACATACACATCAGCCAACTGAAAGCAGAACAAAAACTGCCAAACATGGGTGTTTCAAATAACAGTAGTCAAAATGGACATCAAGAGGCAGATACCAAAAATAATGACAATGTTAAATCATTTTTTTATTGTTTACAAGGCCTTTAGTTCATCTTTGTTTTTCCACTTAATGCACCTGTTACCAAGAATGAGACATAACATTATAAAGATGCATAAAATTGAACATCCAACAAGTGAAGTTAATTACGTAACAGCATGTTTGGTCACTATTTTCAACCAGACGCCTGTGTTAGAAGCTTGAACTTCAAGCTCATGGAACTGTAGGCCCATATAGCTACAAATATTCAAGCCGGTGAGGTACAATTCCCAATATGCAACCATGCATCAAATGGTTCCATGAATTGCTATTCACAAAATTAGGGAACTAAATCTCCAGGGCAATAATTGTTGGGGAACTGGAATAGCTCAATTTTTGTATAAGAACCAGCAGAACAAGTTAAAATACAGGCTACAAGGTGCAGGGCTGGATGAACACAGCAGGCCAAGCAGCATCATAGGAGCAGAGAGGCTGACGTTTCGGGCCTAGATCCTTCATCAG